TGGCAAGCGTTCAAGTTAATGTATAAAGATAACATGTACATTTATTTCGTACAAGTTCCAACATGTTCCCAACAGTCACAAGTAGGTAGTTAACAGATATACTGAATGCACCTACTCCCATTTTCCTTCATGAGTCTGATAAACATTGCGATGGGGTAAACACTAACATTATGATTGTGCAACGATGGATCGATTGTATTTGAAACGTTCGACTAGATCAATATTGTTTCCAAGTGGCGCGATGCACTGGTGCACAGTCAGGACATGAATATTCATGAGTTCACTGGGGCATGTGCGTCTACCCCACTGTACACCGTACCCGTACTGCGTGACACAAATGTAGAACACGATTTACACTGGATAGTTATTTCGACGAATGATAAGCTGAAACATTGTCCACATGAATACAAGTCAAGGTGTGTTTATACTTCCTTACAGGCGAGGTTCTGGCATCAGACTATAGGTGTTGTTATTATTATTATTCATGTGTTATTATATGATACTTGTACAGGGCCAATATCCAGCTCATCTCAACTGCTCACAGGCGCTTTGTTTTTGCCTCGACCGTAGGATGTCAATCTCAAAGGCACATCGGACTTTTCAACCTCAACTCATACAACACTTGCAGCCATTTAACGCACCAAGTTAATGTGATTTTCCCATCCTTATGTGGTACCAATTCACAGTTGGGTGGACTGGGACACATAGTCACAGTACTTTGTCCATGTTTACTCCACGTTGCTGTACCCACAACTAGGTGTTTGCACGTATTTATGTGGCCACCATCTGATCATTTACCAACGGATTCGTGGGTTCTTTTAAGTGCACAGTGATGTGTTTTGTACACTAAGGGCTGTGACAACACTGAAAGAGTCTGCACATGAAGTTGACTCTCGGGTTTTTACATCCGGTCACAGTTGGGCTCGATCCGCCACTTCAAGCTCGCTGGATCACTTGCCAGGCGATTTGGATCGCTCGCCCACTGCGCCCCCAACTTTCTCACCCTGTTTAAGTGTCCTAAACAACCACCCAGTTACGAGAGATTCTTATAACAATATGCATGGATGTGAGCTATGCGCATATGTATACGCGTGGGTGTGCGAGTATGAATCGATAAGCATGTGCGTGTGTGTCTGGTGTTCAAAGTTAAACTTCTCATTTCCTTTAGGGTTGATTTTATGCGTGTAATAATTTTCATAACTCGTTTGGAAAGTCATGTTGTCATTGCAGGTAGAGTCAGCATTGGCGTTTAAATGTGAAGTTGAAACAGTATGCCTGAGGTACCTTCTCCTTACAAACAAGGAGAAATGCTGGTCTGTCCTATGCGACAGAAACCAACAGGCAGCGATAATGGCGGAAACATTGCCATCAGACTTCCACTACAATAATCAAGACGTAAGTGTTGATGTTATAGGTGATCGAGTGACTGAGTTTTAGTTTTACGCCACTTTTAGCAATATGCCAGTGGTATCACGGCGTGGGGACACCAGAAATGGGCTTCACACAGTCAAACCAGGGCCTTCAGCGTGACGCGCGAACGCTTTGACCACTTGGCTACCTCGCCCACCAGTGTTGTTGGTATGCATGTGACCATAGGTGACCATTTTCTAATTTCGTGTGAGACTAGGTTACCTTATTCTCATACGCCAATTAAAGAACGAGTGGTTAGGCTTTATGACGTAACAATCTATATCAACATTCAGTCATTCAAAGATACACACGTTCACATGCAGTTCATGTCTATTTTACAGTCAAACCTCCTTTATCCGGACACTTCTCGAATATTGTCTGAATAAACTGATTTCCGGATGCATGAATCCCTTATCAGTTGAGTGTTCACATATGCATATGTCATATGTCTGATTTTCCTTCAAGTTCATAATAATTATTTTGGCATTCAGGTGTTGAGAGCAGAGCATCAGCAGATCTTCCAGCGGTGTATTGAATACAGAGTGTCCTCAGGAATGGGCACCACTTCAGTGCTGAATGCCATCGAGAAAGAGCTAAACGCGTTCTTGGATTCCATTTGATTCGCTGAATAAGTGAGATGTATTTGACAGTTAGGGCTGGCTATCGATATAGATAATTGAGATCGATAATCGTAAACAAAATATTTATCGATTATCGATAATTTACTTTGAATAAACATACAAAAGATATGAATATATTTTACACCAGTGTGAACGGGGAAATGTTTATGCATGGACTGCTAGCAAAACAACACCCTGAGAATGATGGGGAACCAACCTTTAACTAAAAACCTTACTATTGTGTGAGTAAATTTATACTTTATTCTATCACCAAAGTTTATCTACGATATTACCAATAATCGATAAGTGCATACCGATAATCATAAAACGGTTTTCGTATCGACGATCATCGATCTTTCTAGCCAGCCCTAATGACAAATAACAAAGGGATCTTGCAATGTTTTGTGAAAGAAATGTGGGATGAACAGATATGGAACGAGTACATTCCATCTACAGCTTGAATGAATCTCTGGATGAGGAGTGTTATACAACACTATCAAAAGGCTTCCATGAACAGCTCTTCTTCGTGTTCAGCATTGTGGAGAAGAGATCCAAACATTCTGTCTGACTTGAGAACATTCCCTTAAACACTTGTTGTAGAATCGAGTACATCGTGTTTACAGGTCTACTGAATGACTAAGTATTTTTAGATGGTTCTTGTTTACTAACTGTGACAAGGTTCGTACGGATTATAAGCCATCAAATTTAAGCCCTTATTAGGCGCTATTCGGAACTCAGTCAACAATTCTAAAGACATATAGAAACACATACATAATTGAATACACGAGGTTGGTCGACATTCAGAGAGAAATAACTCTTATCTACATCGCTGCATTGGGAAGGTTTTGCTTTGCGATGGAGATTAATTAACACCCAATGTCATTGTAAGGTGTTTTTATCATGCATGAGTTTCTTGTAAAATCATAAGTTGACAGGTTTTGCTAAATATGGGGCTTTTTAGGGCAGATCACTGGCAATTAGGGCCTTTACGACTTTAGGGCATGTTTAGGGTTAGATGTGCAACGTTTAGGCTTTTTTAAGTCTGTGCGAACCCTGCATGGCACGTGATGGACACGTAATGGGTTCCCTGTATGACACGTAATTGGTTACCTTAACTCAAAATAAATATACCGATAGTACCATTTCCGTTATCATAAGTGATCATAATCACACATTCTTTATGGTTATTTTCCGCCTTTCGATTCTATGATTACTGTATGTTTTCATATATCGGGAATAAGAAGTGCGTTATGCACGTCTTCGTATAAAAGCAGCGTGTGAATGCAGTGTTTGCGTGACCCAAATCATTCAGCATATCCTGCCAAGTGATGCACAGCCATGCAGGAAATCAACCATATATGAAAAGCTCTTTTCACCACTTACATGTGCACATATCACATAGCAGCCATTGTTTCTGTATTTCGTCGTTCAGACGACATTAAGCAACTAAACGTGACGTCAATGAAGAGGGTCGTCACACTTGCTTATCGTGTTTTACTGCACAAATGTACATGAATTAAACGGATAATAAAGACATTATTACACTCGCATAACACTCGTTTCGTATTAGTCGCATGACACATTTGCTCGTGTAATAGTCTTTATATCTACAGGAACTGGAACCTAAGACAACCGTCAATTGAGGAAACATATATTGAATCGTTTGTATATATTCTGGATTGGTTTAGCGCTTTATCTGAGATGTTTATAGAACGTTTCATCATCAGAAACGACTTAGCTTTAAATCACGCTTCAATGGGCGGTGGGGTATCTTAGATGTTAACGCGTTGGTTCGTCATGACGAAGACCCGGGTTCGAATTCCCACATGGGTACAATGTGTGAAGCCCATTTCTGGTGTCCCCCACAGTGATATTGCTGGAATATTGCTAAAAGCGGCGTAAAATCGAACTCAGTCAGTCAGTCAGTTAAATCACGCCTCAAACTCGGCAAGCTTTGTAAATGGCATGTTTAGCTTTTGTACCCAGTGATTCTTGTGCCGCTTAGCGATGAATTCATGTTTTGGTTAGACTTAAAAGCGCAATCTCACGGGGTGGCCGGGTACCCTAGTGGATAAAGCTCTCGCTCGTCACGCCGACGACCCGAGTTCGATTCCCCACATAGGTAGAATGTGTGAATCCTATCTCTCTGGTGTCCAGCTCTGGTGGCCGCGGTCTGTAAATAATGAAATCTGGACCTAACAATCCAGCTATCAACACCATTATATCGACCAACAAAGTTGGGATACGATGACATGTGTCAACCAAGGCAACTAGCCTGACCACTCGATCCCGTTAGTCGCCTTTTGCGACAAGCATGGGTAGCTGAAGATCAATTCTAACCCGGATCTTCGCGGGTAACGTACATTGTAACAATATAAAGTAAAATATGTATTCACAAATTGAATTTCAGTACGTACTTTGTGACATGGCTAACATAACGCATTCCTTCCCCAGCCAGTTGTGACACTAAGCAAACGTGAAACTAAATAGCTGTATAAACACTTGAAAGAAAAACCGTACACCCCCCGTCACTGCAGTCACGAGTCATAAACATGTTTATACATGTAGTTTAGTGGCCTACTTAGTGTGTAACTACTATGTGTAACTATACTTACAAACCACCTCCCTCTCATAGCTTGGGGGTGACTGTTATTTTACGCCGCTTTTAGCAATATTCCAGCAATATGACAGTGGGGGACACCAGAAATTATCTTCACACATTGTACACATGTGGGGAATCGAGCCAGAGCGACGACGTGACGAGCGAACGCTTTAACACCAAGGCTACTCCACCGCCCCACTCATACCCAGGGGTACTGTTTGACATGAAAGCAAACCTATCACAATGCATTTTGACTTTAACGCTTATAGCGCTATACATAACGAACATATCCTCCCCACCCCACCCTACCCCCACCCCACCCACGACGTTCGGATATAACGCGATGTAGGTATAGGACTGTATCAAACCCGGAAGTTGTCGAACAAGTACTTTCAAACAAGCCGCCGGTGACATGTAAGTCTGTCATATGTCATATAAACAAACGATGGGGTGTGGGCTTATATTTACACTTTGAAATCGTTACAAATACAAATAATAGGGTAATCAAAAGTAGAAATGCCTTTGGCAAATTGTTAATTTTATATTTATTCAGTAACCCAGGCTTGTCGTAAGAGGCGACTAACGGGATCAGGCGGTCTGACTAAGGTGACACATATCCCAGTTGCGTAGATCGACGCTGATGTTGTTTATCACTGGATTGTCTGGCTCAGACTCGATTAATTACACACCGCCCGATATATACATGAAATATTGCTGAGTACGGCGTAAAAGTAAACTCACTCACTCCAACTATATTATGGATGTGTTAGTCATCATTGTATAGTGATGATTCGGGTGTTCACGAAAACTAACACAAGCAAAGGCGAGGCAACCACGACCCCCTAACCCAAACCCCCAACACCCAACCCAGAACACATTGCATAGCGTAAGAGAAAAAAAACGGCCGCCGACTAGTCAAACTTGGAAACGCCCACCTCAGTACTCTCATAGCGGCCCTGAATATTGTTATCATGTCTTTTGTGGTACGTCACTTTACTCGTAACCTGAATTAGCAGAGGATCAATACCCATGGAAAATGCCGGGTTTGGGTCTACTGTGGGGCGTGTTGACGAGGAAATTTGATTTGCGATTGCGATAAGATTACACCGATCTGTTTATATTTGCGTGTGTGTTTGGGGATCCAGTGATAATGTGCTAGCCAATCGACAACCAATATCTCAGTTTAACATTGATACTGCACCAATATCTCCTCAGAGGCGTCCAGTTCCGTTAATGGTGAGTGCCTGAGTGCCTTGAAAGTTAACACGGGCCAGGTGTTTGTCGACTGGAGGAGCAAAACATATAAACAAAATTATAAGGGTACAATCGTAAATCAAAAGTGCAATATTTTGTACTTGGGTTTACTTCCCTCGAAACGAAGCACCCGGGATATCGAACCCAGTCAGAGCGGCTGGGTGTGCACTCAAGTGTAACGGCTGGTTCATTGGCTGGTTCATTTGCCGATGCCCTCATGGCTCGCAAACACCTCCAACATTATAATTAGGCTGAAATTCCTCTCAGGTGAAATTCCTCTCTATATAACGCTTGAAATATTTAAAAAAATCCCTTTTAGCCAGTGATACTTAGACTCTTTAAATTTGTATTTTGGCAATTCCAAAAGACCAATGAACAAAGCTGCGGCAAATTAGGAGCCACGTGACCCTGTGGGTGATCCGAAATAATTGTCATTGTCCAAAAAAATGAGTTTTCTATAAATCTTTAATTTAAACACATTCTGTGTATTTACTGACAAAAAACGTTAATGAACTGATGTGCTTTCAAATATTCAAAGGGGCGGTGGGGTAGCCTAGTGGTTAAAGCATTGGCTCGTCCCGCCGAAGACCCGGGTTCGAATCCCCACTTGGGTACAATGTGTGAAGCCCATTTCTGGTGTCCCCCCGCCGTGATGTTGCTGGAATATTGCTAAAAGCGGCGTAAAACCAAACTCAGTCAGTCAGTCAGTCAAAAATTCAAAACAATTCTACACGTAATTCAGCACACCTGTAATTGTGACACTGTGACGGTGTATAATGTCATTACTGATTAATGGATTAAAACCATTATAGACTGAGGTAATCAATATGCTAAAGTGTGTGCAGTCAACTAGAAATGTTGTTGTTATAAGCTGTGGAAGTTTTAGGATGTGGAAGGTTTGGGAGGATACCGTAACGGTTCAGTGCATAATCCGAAGAATCGGAAATTCCGTTCCACTTACGAGCACACTTACGAGCACACATTAGGTTTTCCAACACGTGTGTTACTATTTTAAGGAGGGAATCCCCCAACACGTCACAGGTCACGTGATTCACTGAGAAGTTTGATGGATTGCAAATATTAACCTCTGGATATTTTGATAACGAAAATAAGGCGCACTTGTAGGTATAAGTACAGAGAAGTCATGTATGTAAGTGCTTCGTGCGCAATAACCGTAACGGGTGCGCGAAAGTGCGACAAATGCTTAAGATATGCTTTATAGCGTTCGCATATGTGAGCGCTGTAGCTAAGCCCCCACACACACACACGTACCTCCCATTCACACCCCTTTGAACTGTGCACACCCCTTTCTCAAAAAGTAATATTCGCCCCTGTATAGTGGTGATGAGAGTACCGTCTTTGCGATTTTGCGATGCGAGTACCGATCTCTAATACTCTTGAAGACGGAGGTATGAATTTACTCATGTGCCTCCAATTTTGCTTTTAAAAGGGCTTTTCTTTTTTCTTTTCACATGTGTGCAAAGCAAGCACAAAGCAAAACAGCGACAAATAGCCCAACGCCCTTAAAGAAATTCAAGCTGCTAGCCTACCTCAGAGGCGGGTCACGATCTCGCAGTGAGCAGTCGACATTATTATCAGGAGCGATAGATTAGGTCGGTAGGAGTTAACTCCCTTGGCAACATTTGTAAACATTCCCAGCTCAGTCGTGTTAATCCGAAACACGCCGAATGTCGGCGTATGAACACCAGAACTACTTCAAACATGAACTTTTACTGTGTAATTCCAATAACTATGCCACACGCGTAATGCCGTATTTCATAAAGGAATAAAATCCTTCTAGTAGTCACTACAATGGTGATGATGATGATGCTGATGCTGATGCTGATGATAATGATGATTTTTTGTCAGCTTATTTTAACCGAAATATTCGCACAGCTGTTCGTGTTTTATTTCAAAATGCGTAAATTTCAATACTGTTTTAGAGTTTAGACAGTGTCAATTATGTCTATTCAATGTAAATTAACTTCCCTCACATGTAATTTGAGCTGGGAATTTCAATGATACTTTTCAGGCATAATTTGTCAAAGTACAGGAACATATTTATCAATACAAGATGAAATATCAGTATCCAGTTTAGCTATCAAAACCATTATACTTACTACTTTTATTGCCATAAGTCAATTCTGTCTAATCTTTTTTTACATAAATCGAGCTACCTCTAACAGTAAAACTTTAAGGATATGTGCAGGGGTAACTTCAAAATGTTCTGTTCAGGAATCTTAAAATCCTATATGGTTATTTATAATGTTAAATATCACCACTTTAGCATCTATTTTATAGCATGGCTTCTGAAAGAAGATTAATCCAGTAAATAAATGATTAAATTTTTCTTTCATCTTACAATGAAGAATTCATGGTATGTCCTGTAAATGATCGGGGTAAAATATCCCAAATGAGGTTCAATATTTAAGTTTAAAGTAATATTTTTTAGAGTAAGATATGTTGATTTTAGACTCGCACCGATTTCATGCAGTTGTACATATTTATCAACCCTTAGTACATATCAAAGTGGACAATCAACTGAAATGAACATGGAAAGACAAACAGGCCGTCAGAGAAAGCACAGAATTCTAAATGTATGTAAAGAGGCACACGTGTGTGGATTTTAATCTCATTTTACATGTCACTGTCTCTGCTAACAACTGCAATGGCTGAAACAAAATTCCTTTAGCTGTGTACATTGTTATGTCAAAATGACGATAGATACTTTTGGCGATTTTTTTAAATGATCACATAACCTACCAGACAAGGATCTATCAATCAGGATATATCAGGTACGATCTATCAATCCGCCAAGGATCTCTGAAACAGTCATGGATCTCTCAACCCAGGATGTGTCAGTTAAGGATCTATCAGTCAAGGATAATTCTGTCAAGTTTCAAACATATATTTGGATAGATACTTCTTCATAATCCATTTATGTGACAACCATAACCTATTTACGTGATTGTTCTTATCGAATCCGTACACACATTCTGTTTGGTTTGCTGTATTTTCGCACATAAAATCGATAGGGACCCATTAGTATCTTACTTTCTTAGCAATATTCCATCAATACCAATGCAGGGAACGTCAGAAATATGCTATGCAAATGGTCTTATTTTGAGGAACTACTTAGAGGGACAATGAGTGAGTGAGCTAAAACATAATGTCACATTACATTGATTACAAATATGCTAATCCTGGAAATCCCGTCAACAAAGTACAGTATAATAATAAAAAATGATACATGTTTATTCATAACTAGTTTCAGAACATGTAAAAGTAATTTGTCAGTTAAAACCACATGACAGACGTTGACCACACAGACATGAGACCACACAGACCTTCATATTTCCCGAAGACTATCAACACATGATACACCCCTTTCTTTTGACTATACATTTGATGTACTTTTGACTTTCATGACTATACATACATGATAGACTCGATAACATTATAAGGAGAATGTCGGGAGCCTCCTTCATGTTTTCAGAAGCTTATACACACATGATACGTTATTTCATATACAGTCATTTGACCGTCTTGCATACACCCATAAGACTATACAGACATGAGACTCTCCATATTCTAGAAGACTATGCATACATGAGACTCTCTCATTCATACTTGCAGAAGACATGGGGCCCTCATTCATACTTCAAGAAGACATTGAGCCCTCCTTCATTTTTCCAGAAGACTATACACACATGATACCCTCCTTCATATTTCCAGAAGGCATGAGGTTCTCCTTCACATTTCTAGAAGACTATACATACATGATGCACTCCGTCATATTTCCAGAAGGCTATGCATACATGAGACCCCCATTCATACTTCCAGAAGACATTAACCCTCCTTCACGTTTCCAGAAGTCATGAAGTCTCCATTCATTCTTAAAGAACATGAACAAGACACACATGATACACTCCTTCATATTCCAAGAATGCTATACATAGAAACAGACACAAGTCCCTCATTTACACTTCCAGAAGATTGAACAGACAGTAGATGATCCCTCAATCTAACAAGGGACTACAGACACATTGTACCGTCCTTCATCTTCCGACAGTAGATGGTCCCTCAAACTAACAAGGTTCTACAGACACACTGTACCGCCCTTCATCTTCCGACAGTAGATGGTACCTCAAACTAACAGG